GACACTATACTGACATGACACTAGTACCTGTCATGACACTAATACCTGTCATGACACTAATACCTGTCATGACACTAATACCTGTCATAACACTAATACCTGTCATGACACTAATACCTGTCATGACACTAATACCTGACATGACACTAATACCTGTCATGACACTAATACCTGTCATAACACTAATACCTGTCATGACACTAATACCTGACATGACACTAGTACCTGTCATGACACTAATACCTGTCATGACACCAGTTCTCACCTGTCTTTGGTATACTCCCGGTAAACATAAACAACTCCAGCGCTATAGCCCCCCATGAAGACTACGCTGGCATCATGATTCGTCGCGATTGCCTGACCAAAAAAATGATTGGGAGTCTCCACTACACTGCCATCAAGACTTAATGGCTGTACCACACTCGAAGGTATATAAACCGGAACACCGCCTTCATAATTTGGGGCGCCATCTGTGAGAGTAGTGGTGATGAAAGGAATGTAATGTGCATGCTTCACTATAGCGGCTACGGGATATGAATGACAGTGTCTATACTTTTATATATATATATACATATATATATTCATCCCATTATTTTCATTCGAGTACTTACAACAGCACACATCTGAAGCACACCGTGCAATGTTCAATGCATATGTTAAAACCCAGACAAAGTATAAGTTGCTTTATTTTTGTTGAGGCACTTGTACACTTGAATATGCTATTTATCTATGGAATTTCTCGAAGCAATTCCAAAATCAATACCGAGAAAATACAAAAAACCCAATAAAGGCATTTCAACGTACCTTCAACTGAGCGATCTAAGTCATAGATCATTGCCGAGCCTCTGTAGCTGCTAACGCCAGGTGCTCCTATCATGGCTGTGGTACAGTCACTACTCAGCGCGACGCTGGTGCCGAAGTAGTCGAATTCCGAGTGCGTTTGGGGTTGCAATATCTGTTCCAGTCCAAGAACTCCAGTCAGCGTGTGATACGTGAACACCCGTGCTTCTCCTGCAGATTGCTTACCGAATAGCCCTGGAGAATCGATAGGCAGGAAAAAATATCAACGATCAGAGTTGGATGTGTATGTACCACAACAAAACAGCAACAAGTTCATGCAAACTTGTGTGTGGAGTTCTAATTGTATTATTGTACATCGATTACACGCCCTCAAGTATACTACAAGCTGAAGGCATACCCCCATCTGAACGCTCATTTCACCATAGAAACTATAGCTTGATCCTATTACCAGTACGCTCAATTTCCAAACACATTCAACAAGATCGGAATATTAAAATTGCACTGTTACTAAAACTTGCATCAATTATTCTTACCTGCACTAGTATCGCCCACCAGCACTCGCAGCTTTCCGTCTGGGTCTTGCGAAGTCCTGCAGATAGCCACACTCACTCCAAAAGCTTTGTCCATGTCGTAGTTATCACTGCAGAACAGATTTAGTCGTGTAGACCCAGGCGTTTGAGATGAAAGGGTGGCGGGCACAAACGGCGGGAAACAAACATATCACCATCTAACCACCAAAAATATTACTGCTGGGATTGTGATTGAGTACTGGAGGACAGTGATAAGTTAATGTAGGTGCACAGCAGTATACATAACCTTTGAGAGACATCGTAAAGAGTTTTGTCGAGTGGTAGTACTAATGACTGATAACCCTTGACAGATGGTCCAATTAAAGTATAGCAATGCTGTGAACTAACAATTCTCAATGTGAACCAAGAAAAAAATACACTCACGTTTTAGACACAAGGCAAATCATGGAATTTCCTACATAGATATTGCTGGAACATAATTGAAACAGGGTTGTGAAGAAAAGGATACGCATGCTGCCATGCACTTACTCGGTTGATGAATTGTCTGGGACCAGTACATCTTGCGCGAGAATCCAGGATCCCACCATCTCGTCTAGTCTGAACAACCGCGCCACCAGCTTCTCACGCAGCGTTTGATTGGCTGATATTTTGGTCTGGATTCCGATTGGTGCGACTGCCTGCACAATCCACTGGGCGTCTTCTGACATGGCCACACGCCTAGTCTGAAAGGTGCACCCATCCACCCCCACACATTCAGATGCCGGCTCTGAAAGGGGCAAAACAGTATGTATGGGACTTGAGTATTGGCAGGCGCAGGCACATACTGACAAGTTTGATCCGAAAATATTCCGTCGACTACAAAACTCTCAATATGCACGGTACAACTGAGATCTGACTCGTACTTCGGTTTATGAACCCATCTTTGCAACCATCAGCGGCGCAGGTTGGTTGCCCGTCGTCGCAGCGAACACTGTCCATAGCACAGTGACTGCTAATGCTGGGCTCGTCAGCGCATGCAACCTCCACGTCTGCCTCTTCACCATTGCTGATGAGTTCCGCTGTATCCTCATGTTCTTGCCTGTTGTGAATTGGAAAGGAAACAAGAGCTTCAGTACCTTTAATGCGGCGTGTATTGCCAGGTATTTTGATTCCGCAGAGCGACTGAGCTGCCCCGCCAATGGATTGAAATAACTGCGTTGAATGTTTAAACAAAAAGCACTGAGTCGTTGGCTCGTACCAAGCAGCAGCTCAATGAGTGTCGAATAACTTCAAAGTCACCGGACATCGCTCTGAAGGCTTCTGTACGAGAGTTTAAGCTTAATTAGATGTGTGATATGTTAGTATGCCCGCCTATGGATTTCTGACATGCGTTTGTACTGCACTTACGTTGACAGCAAAGTGTTGTCGCCGATGAAATCACACAGTCCATCGAAAATGGTCTTTCCAGTGCTTGTCAATCCCTCAATGTTAAAGACCACCGCCTGACTCACATCATTGCCACACTGTAACTGTGCTGTGCCCTTGATCCTTATCGACACACCATTTTCGAAATCGACTGCATTGCCTGCATGACGCAAATAAAACAAAAGTCTTCGAATTATACATCAAACTAACAACGTTCTAATTGAATCACTCAGCTACATCAAACTGTCACCTCGGCGTGGCAACTCTTGACAGTGTTAATCATAAGTCATAGAATACGAGAACCCTGTGGTTTGTAGGGTCTATCCCAGCTGTACGAGATAACAAATATGCCCAAATGTCCGCAACTGAAGTTGGTAATGTCGTCGTCCGGAGGTCATGGACTGGTAAAACTTAACAAACTAATAGCCTAGTGATCAAGGTAGATCATTTTACCTTGATAACATTTGTGCAAGTATATTATGTTGCTTCCACTTCTTTGTCATGAAAAAAACATAACAGTTATATCACGCTATAACTAATATCGGTGCCCCAATATAGTCGAAGAATGATATGCGAGAAGATACATGAATCGCGGTATACGATCAACAATAGCAGGCCACTAATTTAAATCCATATACATTTGCATGCACCTATATATACAAATATAAATAATACCTTTATCTCTTGCAATGAATTTTGTTTCAGTAGGTATAGCCGGTATATAAATCTACCTATAAGCATACAAACATATATATATGTACATGTATATATATATATATATGTATACATATATATATATATATATATATA